GGAATATACAATGGAGTGAATGGATTATTCCCATTTTCACATGGTCATTATGCCTACCGTTACTATTATGTTGTTTCTCCAAAACTTGTATTGGTTCTTTGTACTACTCTTTTACGAAAAGAATTCAGAGAATATGGACTTATTTCGAATTTTGTTTGTGAATTTTTTAAGGATGTTCCTCATCCAGGGATACCAAAATGTGTTAAAATAAATAACGAACGTGGCCATAATAATACTAGAAATCCCCTTACGTTTATTGATTCTTTTCTAAATTCTTTAGATTTAAAAATAGAGAATAGTGACATACTTACATTTCCCTTTGTCAAAGTTAATTCAGCCACCGTTCACTTAGTGAATACTATTATACTTAATGAGACTAAACCGGATGAAGTTTTATCCTTCCTTTCCCATTCGAATCTATATAAGACAATTGTCAAATATCATAAAAACAAGGAACTCGATATAATAAAGCAAGATCACACAGGTTTGAAAAAAAAACTGTTCGTTGCTTTAAATAGAACTCACAAAGAAAACATAGGTCTTCGGAAAAATCTTTCAGCTAACTACACATATAATTGGCAAGAATGTAAGATTGTTCAGAATTCCGATCCTGAGAACCTACTACGAGATAATCTCATCGAGATAGTTCAGAATTCCAACCCTGAGGAGCAAGACCATAATCTTACTAAGGTAGTTCAAAATTTTGATCCTGAGGAACGAGATTATAATCTCACCAAGTTAGTTCAAAATTTCGATCCTGAGGAGCGAGACCAGCTACGAGATAATTTCACCGAGATTGTTCAGAATTCCAATTCTGAGGAGCGAGACCAACTACAAGATAATCTCATCGAGATAGTTCAGAATTACAATTCTGAGGAGCGAGACCAACTACAAGATAATCTCACTAAGATAGTTCAGAATTACAATTCTGAGGAGCGAGACCAACTATTAGATAATCTCACCAATATAGTTCAAAATTCCGATCCTGAGGAGCAAGATCATCTATTGGATTATTTTACTGATATAGTTCAGAATTTCGATCGTAAACTACATGACAATTTCATCTATCAGTACTTAAAATCGTTAATGAATAAGCAGTTCCACAAATTACGGCTGATTTCACCTAATCCAGCGGCCCGTCGTTGGGCTATTCAGGAAGATGTGATGCGACGAAAGGGATTTGAACTTAATCATAAAGTAAATAACAAAGATTGGCCTAACCCATACGAACAATGTCTGCATAAAGGACCTTTTGACAAAGTTAAAATACTAGCTTCCAATTGTGGATGTAACTCGTGTTCAATTTACCATGAAATTTATGCTCAATCTGATGAAGAATTACAATTAAGAATTA